CCCTCCCAGCACATTAAATGAACTTTCCTTAGTAAGTAAAAATCATTCACTAGTTGAGTAGCATCAATTGTTCCAATTTTTTTWTATAATACGGAAATAAACAATTGAATAGAAAAGGAAGTTAATGAAGCATTTTGATGGTGGTAGTTAAAAAATACCATCATGCAAATACACTACATATATTTCACATGATAGAGGTCAAGACAGAGTATGGTGAGGAGATCTAGAGTCCTTAAAGCTAAGATTATGTGATATTATCCTTCTTAACGCGAGTAATACAGTCAAGTACTTACTGCTGGTATAAGGCAATACTTGTCAAAAACTGTCTTGTCGAATAGACATGGTGAAGTGAGTAGAAAACTATTCCTGAAAAAATAATGTTAAAGATAATCATGAACATGATGATGATGATCCCGGGGGGAAGGACTCCGGGAAAAAAGTACCGGGGATGCTTGTCGTATCTCTTAGGGGTAAAAATTCRCGATTTGGTATCTTTTAGAGTTTTTAAATGCGAATTTTTGAAAATCATCATTTTCTGGTATCTCTTAGGGTGTCGGAAAAGGAGAGAAGYGTGCATCGATATGGCTTAGTCTAGGCGCTTTTTATATAAAATTTAATATTATTTGTTGTGGTATCTCTTAGGGGTTAAAAATCATTCAGCCACGCCCTTTTTAAAGACTTCCGGTATCTTTTAGGGGTCTTTTTGAAAATTTCCGACAAGCATCCCCGGTACTTTTTTCCCAGAGTCCCCCCCAGGATGATGATAGACTGTGATGATAATTGTAATGTGCTCTAAAGTCAATACTGGTCAAAACTTCCTTATATCAAAGAGATATGGTGAATTGCCTAGGAATTAGTGAGCTATTCCTGGAAAAACAATGCTGAAGATAATGAACATGATGATAATTATTGTAATATGTCCCGGGGAGGGGGGGGGGTGGGGGTACTCCCCTATATTTGCTATACGGGTATGTGACGCCCTATAGGGTATGGTTTTTCGGCTTTTGGGTCTGGGGCAGGGTATCATTTTTTGACATTTTGTCTGGGATAGGGTATCGGGTTAACGATTTGGTCGTTTTTGTCTGGCGAATAGGCTACGCTTTCTGCCGACACAAAAAYGATAAAAATGTTAGTAAATGTTGATTGCAATCGATTGTAAAATCGTATTTTCCGTCTTTTAGTCTTGGATAGGGTGTACAATTCTTAGTTTTAGTCTGGGGTAGGGTATGTAAAATCAAAATTTTAGGTCTGGGATAGGGTCAGGGTTTTGAGGTCCTGGCGGCACTTCCCTACCCAAGTTGGGGTAGTAGTACCCCCCCCCCCCCGGGTAATATGTTGCTGGTCAAAACTCTCTGATTGACTGGAAATGGTGAGCTATTCCAGGGGGGAAAAAATGAAGCTAATATACTCTTGAATGTGATCATGAGGTTTACAGTTATTATGTGAGAAAAACTGTCTAGTTTCTTCCAGGCAACATTAATTGTCATAACATCAAATATTTACTGCGGCTTTCGATACCCTGCAAACTCATTGCATGTAGCCTGCGTCACATCTGGACTACCGACAAAAAAGTCCGGATGTGCATGCTGAAATTTGTTTTTTCCATATACCTAAAACAACAAAACGACAAAATAATAATAATAATAACAACTTTATTTAATGAGGGTGGCACTAAATAGTGTACTACACTAATAAACTTGTGGCCCTCAAAAGCGAAACAGCATATAACTAATAGTTATTTCTGCAAGTTCATTTTATGAAAAAGTACTCATACCGACTAAGTACTAAGTATTTATATGAAAGTCTATTTTGTATTTCATGCTCAATAAAGCCATTATTATTAGAACGGAAAGTCTTTTCTGTAGTCACGCGAGCAAACTATTTATATGCTCGATAAAACGAGAGTCTGCTCATGGTCACGCGAGCAAAAGTCGCGGTAGCTTCATCTTARCTAGGATCACTTGGAAAAAAGGCTCAAATTGCAAACGAGTTCGAATTACAGACACGACGACGACGAGGAAAAAAACAAATAAAGAAGAACAAAATATCCAAATATAATTTGCATCCAATCGTTTTTGGGGAGAAATTAAGTCACAGAAAAACCCGATCGCCGTAGAACGTAAGTTTACAAAGCCTAAAGCTTAAAATAAATGTGTTATTAATAAGTAATGAATGACTTACGAGCTACTGTTGGCAGCCATGAATTTGTAGTTGTCGTTGCTTTTCTTGCGGAAGCTCGGGTTTTCGTGTTTTTCTTCGGTACTTTAATTTATGGTTCAAATCAGTTTGCAAGCAAATGCGACTGCTATCCTGAAAAAAAAACAAAGGAGCTTACTTTCTGGCTTTAAAACAAGATGACATGTGTTTGTTGTAGTTGGAGAAGGTACAATACCCAAATAGATTTCCGAGAAATCTTTCCAAATACCACAGGTATCCCAGACGAGAAATTTAACCGCCATATATCCAAAATATATCCGGATCAGCTAGGAACCACTGTTAAGAAGGAAAGGTTAAACATCACTTAATTATTATTATAGTTATGTTCACTGTTAATAACTAGGCTRTTTTTAAGATAACTTASCTTATTACTTAGTCATTGTTAGMTGAAAGTCACATCGACAAGGAAGGTGTGGTCAGCATTCGAGCATGGCCCCACCCAATTCCGTCCGACTTAAGACACGTAAACAAAGCTATGTCGCACGACTCAATTTGTTGCACTCAATGTTGCTGGTGTAGAAAACGATCTAACAGCAACATTGCCTGCCTCTCTTCCTTTCCTCTCCTCCTCTCTCCTAGCCTCCTCTCCTTACCTCCCCTTCTCAGATTTGGTCATATATATCCTTAATAAACGAGCAGTTACCTATTCAGTCCTCCAGCTCTACCATTTATTATGTTATACAACTTTTTTTTAAACTGTAAAGGATTTCATGGAAAAAAAAACAACCTTACAATGGACGGCTCAATAAGAGTGGGTTACCACTAAAAGTAGTCACAATATTTTTTAACCTTTAAAAACGATAATTTTAATTCGCGGATAGATGGTTAGTCTCCCTCGCATCCGTTTTTAGTGTCGGTCGTCACGCAACGCGACACTAAAAACGGATGCGAGGGAGACTAATAGATGGTGTAACTGTTGCTTTCCTCGTTGTTAGAGAYAGAGMTTTCCTGGTGATGTCACAGAGCAGCTTTTCCTTCAACAAAACTGGCAAACCGAACGCAAAAATATAATCGCATTTCTTTAGCACAGAACATCACTCTGTTAAGATTGCGAACGTTTTAAAACACGATTAGTGCTTTTATGCGTAACATACCTAGATATTACTTTTTGCAATCTTGCGCACAACAGTCCCATAAGTGGACATACGATCAAGATTTGCATRTCGCATATCTGGTCCTTAATGGAGTTATGAAGTTAACATATTTGCATGCYTTTTGCATCCACCTAAAATATCTACCAATATCTTTAAACATCCCTCCTGAGGAATTTCCCCAGTCGTCTTTGTTTGGCCATAAGGGGCGAAAAAAACATGTATCTGAAGTTGTATCYAATAAGAAATAACCAAAATTTAAAGATATATATATAATGCTTTGCATATTTTTAACTCTCGGTTGGT